AGAAAAAAAGGTGCTAGTGACGTAATTTCTTTAGGGGAATGGGAAGGGGGGGGGGGGGGTTATTAGAGCACTCCTTGCTGTAGCATATTGGGGAGGAGATCGAACAATAGAGGGCGCTTTGTCTTGCTTGTTTTTACACAGAGCTTCATATGTTTACACAACACAAGGCCTGTGGACCGGATTTGTTTTCGTCACCCTCCTCGATTCTGCTCGGGAAACTACAAATTCGACGCGAGTGCAGCGTTGTCAACGTTCGGCTACGCCAGGCGAGCACTGCGTCAAAAACACAAACAAATATCTGATGTGGCTCTTGTCTCCCCATGTAAACTTAGTTCTCGACTTAGCAGCGCCAGGGGTGCAACAATCGGATCTCCTTCCCTATAGGGCGCTATTAGACTAGTCTATTCTTCGTCCACACTAGACTAATCGAGCAAGTGGAGAACGAAAAGTAAATAAAAATTTACTTATATATAAACGTCTGAACGCCTCCTTTTTTTTTCTTCTTCTTTTTAATCTTTTTGCTTTCACCACTGTATAATCTCTGCTTTTATCAAAAAGATGGCACTGATAAGAAAAGAAAAAGGCACAGACCAGAGTAAAGTTCCAAGACATCGAGGCCGCGGTTTCGACAAGAAAAAGCGCGCGAACAAACGATTACAAGCGCTCACACACGTGGGACCTCGAAAAAGCTATACAACGACATCCGTAGGTACACCTGGAGGTTACCCGAAAATAGATTGAGAACGCATGGTTGAAAAGACGCTTACAATATATACACACAGACACACACACACGTCTATAACTTCGACAAAATGATATGTTCACATTGATAACGTAGACGGCAAAGAAGAAGAAAAAAAAGGACAAGAAACACACATGTTCTGCCTCCATTCCAATCACCTTGTCGAGTAATATACAAAATACACACCTCCCCTTCTCCCCCCCCCCAAAAAAAAAAAAAAAAACAACAACAAAAAAACAAAAGGCCCGCTTTTGTGTTTACAACGCAGTCTGTATCTCCTCTTCCAGCGACACCTATATGTGTTCGAAAGGTTTCCTAAAGTCCAAAGTAAGCCGGAACGACGGAAAATATACAAAAATAGTAAAGCTCAATCGCCGATATGGGTCTATATAGCCAGGCAGGTATTCGAGTATAGACGAAAAACAAACAAGCGAGTATATGTTTATTTATGTACAAGGCGCTTTCGTCCCAAGCGTACACGGCGCTTGTGGTAATTAATCTAGATATGTACACATCTCCCTTCGAGTATAGTATAGACGTATCTCGCAAAAATCATAAGTTTAATGCGAAATGAAGGTTGGAAAAAACAAAATTCGCAAGGAGGAACGCGATTGACTAAATTGCTGCTTATCATTAGCTGCGATAAGCGTCACGCGTGAGGTTATTGCTTGAAAGCATCTGTAATTGTTTGATTCCTTCATGTAACCCTCGACAGCCCTCAGAAGCGCAGGGGGTGACGAAGCCCAAGAATCTTATTATCCGCGCTAAAATCCCTTCAGGCCAAAGAAACGGATCGTGCATAGCAGAGGAGATTCGGAAGTTCCCATTACGTTTCGAATTTCTAGTATTAGTAACATATTGTGTGTCTATTTAATTGCTCCGAATTCTTCGAGTGGTTAACGGTGGTTAGCTATGAGAATAATACATACCATTGGACTATACGCCGCCGACAGGCCATTACCGGCTAGAGCTGTTTCACTGTGCACACGCCTCGTAAAGCTTCCTTTACAGCAAAACAGGAGGATGGGTCAATTTCAATTTACCTTAGGCGGGTTCACTATCCTAATTATAAACGTGTCCTTCAGCATTCGAGTACGTGTTCATCAATGACAATGAAAACCGACCTTTGAATCCGAACGTAATACGTAGTCTCCCACAATATCAAAGACCCATTCATTGAAGCAGTTCATGCGCAGGGGCTGAGCACGCTTTGTCCCGAGGCACTTTATTTTTAGAGAGAAAAGAGAGCAAAGGCTTATTTATTTGTTTCCCCCAAGCAGCGTGGGCCTTCACAAAGCGAATTCAGCACAGCCGCATTAAACGGACTCGTGGAATGGGTCTTTTATTATTCGAGACTCTGTATACGCTCTTTGCAATGCACATATTACACCGCAGTCTCCATTTACCGCATATTCTAGAGACGGATTATAGTCGCCAGGAATCCATAAGAAGCCGAGTGTTCCCAGACCCGAAACCGAGCCTCATAATCTTGAAATTAGAGTTCAAAGCTGTTCGTTCGTCCGCGGGACAGCACATATGCAAAAGGGCTTCGTTGTTCTTTTCTATTATAGCTTCTGACACGGCGGCACAACAGGACACACAGGACTTGATCACCATCAGACGTGGTGTATTATGGGCTCGTATTAATGCTCGAGACAACCATGGGCAGTATGTCGAAGTCTTACGAACCGACAAGCTAAGCGTTGTCGTCGTCATCCTAAGCACGTATTCTCTCGCGGTTCCAAGGCACACTGCCACTCTCAAAGAAGAGGTTCGCGCTATAGGAGGGCGATTGGGCTGGAACCGTCTCTTTAAGCGATGGCGTATCTGTGCTGTATTGCGTCAACGGTCCAACCGAAGGGAACCAATAAAAACGAATTGTGACAAGCTCCTGTTGATGCCTTTTCTTGCATGGTCTGTTCAGAATCAAGGGTCTATTGGGCCAATGACCCCAGGAGGAAAGGGTAAACTAGCCGGTGACTGGAGGTTCGCACGCTCGATTCAAATACCAGCTTCAGCTAAAGGTTGACCTGCAGTTCATGAAGAGAGAGAAGGGAACTTCACCTTTTCCCGATAGTCAAAGGCCACCGTGTTTAACTTTAAGGAATCTCCATGGAACGTTACTCCGAATCTCCGAATTGCGGTTTATTTTGGTATTTGAAGTGTGTACAAAATTGGCTGTTTCCGTCTTTCAGGGGCGTGAAAAGTGCTTGGCAGATGAAGGGGGAGAGGGGGTGGATTTCCTTTCGCTTTTCTCGAACTGCTCTGAAATGTCTAGGGTGTTCTCTTGCAGTGTAGGTAAGAAATACAAGAAACGCACCGCCCAATCTAAAATTGAAAAAAAAAAAAAAATTACGCCGAGAACTGTTTTCTTTTTTTCTTATTTTCTTAACATTAAACAATGGCTGGTTAGTGCAGAGTGAAGACAATGACGCCATTTCTGTCTGGGAATTCGGCAGCGAAGCCTTTCCTGCCGTTATCGCGTTGCAATGATCTATACTGCACAAACGCAAAGAGAGACAGAGAAAGTATTTTAGGATGGCTGAAGCGGATTTTGCAGGTCGGCCTTTAAGATTCAACCAGCGTTCATACAACCCAGAGTGTGCTGCGGTTAACAGGTCACCACGGGAAAATTTCAAAATGACGTTTTTCACCTCGTTTATTGAAGGCTCGATTTTAAAACTTTTAACTCAGGAAAGAAATGTGGTTATGGAACGTAGAGAAAGGATGGCATACACCATTTTCGTATGTTCTATCCCGTTTTTTTTTTTTTTTATATTTTTCTCCCGTCGCAGTTTGTGTTCCACGATGAAAGATCACCGCATGAACTGATGTGGACTCGCAGCGCTTCTTTGAAAAATGTTGATGACTACGTTGAAGCTTGTTTTAAAGATTAGTCTCGAGGTTTTGCATCAACTTGTCACCTCTTTAAGATACGATATGTCCGGAAGGATTAATGTTATCCGCTTTCATCGCTGAATGCAGCACGCGTGCACGTCGCTTGTAAGAAAAAGTAATTTGCATGCGTAATATGGCGGCCTCGTCAGTTAAAATTAAACAAACGGCACGAAGGAAAAAAAAAACTAAAAAGAAGCTACTAACGTCAACTTCTATCGACTACACCAGGGACGACACACAATTGGTCACAACCTCAATAATCCGAGACGTACGAAATAAATCTATACGTCAACGAGAACGCTTCAATATACTACAGTATCTTCCACGCAACAAATTTACATAGTTCTACAATCGTCAAGTTTCTTATTTGTTTTGACTTCTCCAGCCTTATTTATGAAACCGTCCAGTTTTGAGAGTAGCAGTATATACACATATTTACGAAGCTATGGCCGCTGATACCTGAAAAATCTAAAGTACTTCGTTTTTTCTTCGTTTTTTTACTTTTTACAGCATATGCGGTCTTTAATAATCGGACCGCGATTTGATTTTGACTAATCTAATTTGACGGTGTTGCACTATAAATGACCGCCCTGCAATAGGGATGGACAATAGGGGCTATTCATGCCTCGAATTCTGTATGCTGCTGTGATTGAGAAGTGAATGTGAGGATTGAAATCTAAAGATGATTTAATTTGAAGCCAAAACCCAGTGAAACCGTGCCAAATTTACCGTACATTTTCACATTATTTGCACATTTTAACCCCTGGTTTTGGAGTTTCAGCATAAAAAAGTGGCGTGTGGCCTTTTATCGGCAAGCAGATCGTTGCAACAAAGTAGTTATTTCGCCGTCGTTCCAACTGCGAGTGACGTCAAAAAAAAAAAAAAAAATGGTGGAGAATAAGTTGAAAAACTCGTCGCTTCAGATCCAAAGCGACGGCGCTTCGAGCGACGGGAAGACCATTAGACGAGTTCACTTTTCATTTTTCTGCCAAGAAGCCTCTAGACCTATATGTTTAAGCTGAATTTATTTGAGATGTAGAGAACTATTGCCTCAGTCAGTTCCTCTTCTCATCTAAATGTTTTTTATTATCACTTGAAGGGCACAGGCTTGATATGTATTGACGTCTGGTACAACACGATTCCGCTTAATTCGACGGGGAAATCTTTCTATATAAAAAATATAAAAGCAAACAGGCCTGCAAAATATAGCTTCTGCTGCATGAAACCAAAGAGAAAATTACGGCAATTTACTGATTTGGGTTGAAAGAACAAAACTGCAATGGTGCACAATTAATAAGAATATAAAACGCTATCAGTCAGCTTTAAATTCTTCTGTCTATAGTTCCTTTTTTTTTTTTTAGCATATTTGGGTTGGTCATTCGGCTTCACTGCTCTGGGAAAAGTGTAACAACGAAACAATAAGCTTCCTGCCACAAGTTCCATCCTGAAACCAAAATCATTGCCTTATTGAGATATTAACTGAAAAATTCATCGATTAGCCTCTTGTTTTTTTGCCTTTTTGTTGTTGTCCCTATATCGCTCTGCAGAACATCTCCTTTATGTCTTATTTTCGCTCTAACGAGCCATTTTGTGGTCTGCAAAATCAAACCGTAAACTCATTCGGCTATTAGAAGAGAATTAGGCAGGGTGTGTTTTTCGTTCGATGCTGCACCAGCTCTGTATGGCGCATGGACCTGCTCAGTCGAAGGTCTGCCAGTGCTGGTTAGGAAGTTGCTCGCCCGGCCGCAGGGGCAGCGATGGCGCCGGCTGCCGACCGCTCATGAGGCGCCCGTTGGCCACTTCGGCCAGCTTGGCGCTGATTTCTTCGGCGGAAGGCTGGCGCTGTGGCGGCACCGGGGCGCTGAGCGTGAACCCCTCGGTGGGGATCTTGAGCTCGATTCGCTCCTCCATCAGGGACTCCAGATTGCTCTTCTTGATGCCATAGCAGAAATACATGAACATACCTGAAACAAAGGAGAGAAAAAAACAAGAACAACATCGATCAGCTGTCAGCACTTATCTCAATCCGTTCGGGACTGCGTCGTTTTTCTCGGATCTTCTGCTAATTCACCATTTTACGAATTCCCGGTTTGAGAGTTTTTCGGTATGAAGTCGCGTGTGCCTGGTCCGACCGCAGTGGATGCTGCGAGCCATCCCAGCACATCCAGCTCGGTGGATGTAGCGCGTGATGCACTCTCCGCGCGTCACAGCTCCAAAGTCACGAGGCACTCACACAGCCCTGAATAAGCTTCGATGGTTCTTGCATTCGCCGCGATCGGCCTTCAAACCGAGTATAGGTCCTGTTGGCTGCATTGGGCTCAGACCTGTGCCTATCTCAAATACTCTACTCAAGATACTGTATCTTAAATACTTTTTGGAGTATCTTGCTATCTTGCAAATACCTTCGATGGAGAGTATTTAATACTCTATTTTAATTACAATTCCGAGTATCTTGTACTCATTATCTTAAATACATTTTTGGCATTCCACCGTGTTCCGAGTTTTTCGGTATGAAGTGGGGTGGGCGTGGCACGGGCAAACGTGAACATTCTTTCGAGCAACCGAATCCTGCTGCTAGCTCCGATTAGCTACGGTGACTAACTGAGCTCGTGAAAATATCACTTTTTTGCCGACTGTGACTCATACTTCAGCCCTAAGTTCACACAGTGAAGGTTCTCCCCTCGCCTTCCCATAGGTGCCTTTTGTTTCTATAAAGTTTCCCCCCAAAAAATCCTCAAACCAAAGTTGTGATTTTACGGAAGTAAAGATGCCAGCCACCCTGAGGCGCAGGCAGACCGGGAAACGACCCACGAGAACAATGCAGACTTAAGTGTCAAGAATCTGGAGTTGGGCAAGTTGTTACATCTTAGATTCGAAAAGCGCCAGAAAACAAGAACAGAAGGAATAGACGAAAGGTTGCGCTACTTTCAACTGAATTTTTATTCGGAAAAACGAACATATATATACACACCCAAGCAATACTCTATTTTAATTACAATTCCAAGTATCTTGTACTCATTATCTTAAATACGATTTTGACATTCCGCCATTTTCCGAGTTTTTTGGTTTTTGAATTCATCTCACGAGAAGCTTGATTACAAACAAATGATTGCTTGGGTGTGTATATATATGTTTGTTTTTCCGAATAAAAATTCAGTTGAAAGTAGCGCAACCTTTCGTCTATTCCTTCTGTTCTTGTTTTCTGCCGCTTTTCGAATCTAAGTGTCAAGAAATAACAAATAGAAGAAAATGAGAAGTGGACACACACAAAAAAAGTAGACATTTTTGTTTTGCTTTTTGTATATTTGACCCCGCGAAAACAAAACGTCAAGGTGTTTTTTTTTTTGTCAGTCCGGCATTTATTGCTCTCGCGAACACTGTCTGTAAGCGAACATTGATAAACAGAGAACAGTACAGGAAACGAACTAGGAGCTGGGTGACCTCTCAAAATGCCAACAAAGTGTCCCCCAACGTTGAGTGCCTTTCTGAACGCAACCTACTTGAAGAAGGTGCGACCTCTGCCGTGGCTATTATGTGGGTTCGCTTTGTTATCCAGTCACTGATATCCGTGTCCCTAGTTTGTTTATAGTGAACTCCCCGAATAGGGAATATGGATTGTAGTTAAACTATGCATCTAAGGTGCGCCGCAAGATGTGATATTCAGCGATGTCACTATTGGCGAAGCGCTCTGACCCGTTTGTCACCCCCACACCTCGGTGTTTACCCAACACAAGGCCTCTGCACATGCTCAGAGGCTTTTTGGGCATGTTCGTGTCATCTTTTTTAATAAAGCGCGGGGCATAGTGTAATGAAAAAATACCAACAATTAGTGAAGTGACGTTAAGTGCCGGATCTCCCCCAAAAGCAGTCGCCAGAGGATGCGAACTTGACCCACTAGGGCTTTTGTGCTGCGTTCGCCGCGTTCGGTTAAGTCAGCCGAGCGCTGAGCCATTGTATTTGTTGTCCCCATCCATCTAGTTCCAAAGTTAACCGCTTGGGGAGCCACGGTCTGATCTCCTCCCTAATAGCTAAAGCGACCTCTTTCTTAGTAAAACATATAAAATAGCGCAACAGAAACAAGGACAAGAAGTTTACTCCTTGTCCTTGTTTCTGTTGCGCTATTTTATATGTTTTACTAAGATGAACCAACTAGCCCAACAACGTACCTTACTAGACCTCTTTCTTGTTGTCCCAAAAATGTTTTGTAACATCTATCAGTGATATTGCCACGCGCGTTGCCCAGCGAGCGCGTGGCCGAATGGCTATCGCGCTTGGCACTCGCGCGGAGGCTCTCGCGCGGAGTCTCCGGGTTCGATACCAGAAAGCGGACTTCTCTTTTATTTATTTCTTCAACTTGACATTTTGGTAAGTTCAAGGATTTTGTCGTTGGTCGAGTTGCGAATGTTCTACGCGCCGAACTTTCTGCGCCGAATGTTCCAGAAACACACGCCGGTACAAAAGGTGCTCCGAGTGGCGGTCCGGAGTCAGTCTCGCCCCAGCGGTCGATCCTGCAGTTTCGCCGACATCGACGCCTGCGACGCTAGCGTTTCTCTCTTTTGTTTCGGGAACAAGTTCGCCCCATTAAACCTTTAGTTTCTTCAGTTATTCGCCGCCTCATTATTTATCATTCCTCACAATATTTTTCTCTTTACAGTCGGACTGCATGAGATAGCCCTCCGATACTTTTTTTTTTCCGTTTTCTGTTGTTGCGTTCTAATAAACCATTCTGGTAACCCAGATTTGCGTAGCTGCATAATTTTCGTTGTCAATGACGTCGATATAAATTAAGCAATGCGGAAGTATCTTCAAAAGTAACTGAAATACATTTCTAAGTATTTGTACTCTACTCAAGATACTTTACAGTGAAAGTAACTTGAGTAGTATTTTAAATACTTTATGAGGCAGGTATTTAGTAACTTAACGTAAATACTTTTATCCAGTATTTTGTCCAACACTGAGGTCCCGAAACATTGTTCTTTTTGCCCAATGTGGCTTATCGTTTGCCCCTAGATTCGCACACAGAAGCGTATTTCTTCCCTACACCCAATGCCGCGTTGATTTAGAGTTTATTATACAAAAATTCCTGGAATCCAATCCCCGACAAGATAAGTGCTTGTTTCGAAAGTGGCGGGGGTCGGGCGTATAGCGACGGTTTCACAGATCGCCCTTTCACTCCCAGAAAGGCGCATGCGGCTATGCTGGTGAACCTTTCCGATATTTTATTTTCCTTGTGTATGTTAACTATCCTCATTAATCTCGTTTTTGATGCTCGCCGATCTCAAAAGCTTCGCAAAAGGGTCCACTGACGACGGAACTGAGCAAGCGTGCACATAGCGCAGACATACTTCGGTCGGACAAACAACTCCTTACACCGCATCTTTTTTCCTGCAATAGTGGAAAAGAACGTCTAGTACCAAAGCGGATGCTCTTTTCTGTCGCAGCTACGCTCTGGCTGGTGCAGCCCATCACAACGCGAAATAACTTATTATTCAACAGGTACGCTCGCGTGAGCTCCAGCTAGATGTAGTCATGTGAAGCCGCCCTCTCGCTAGGGCGATCGCCTTTACGTGGCTTTACCCGCCAGTGTAAGTGATGAAGCAGTTAAGAGTGAGATAAAGCGTGAAGGTTGCACGGACGACGAACAGACACGCGCACATACTGCCCAGATTGCGTGCTGCCGCATATGCTCCCGCATAACCACTCCTACCTACAGATGCACCCCCGCAATAAGTTATAAGCACGTCTTTGTCAGTGACATCTTGTTTTAGAGGCTGCATCTAAATCAAGACAAATAAAATCTGAAACGAAAAAAAAACAAAAAACGAGAGAGGTTGGCAGTGTTCTTTTTTCTTGAAATATGCCTAGGCTTACGTCAGCCGGAGAACACAAAAGAAGCACAAGGACGTGCTTGACAGAAACTTCTCAAAGTGATACGTTCGCGTATGTGCATGTGCCTCAACATCAGAGTGAGAGGATGAACCTGTCACCCCATTGCAAGCAAGCACGCGAAACATTTGCGACCGAGCTTTTAATAGGCAAATTAAGGTGTCAGCATTGGTATACTTATAAAAGATTCTAAAAGGCCGCAGCATTCATCCTAGTGACCATAAAAAAGTTAATACTTCTGGTAGAGCCATACATTATAAAGTCCAGTCACAAACAAGAATAAAGAGATGAACAAAAATCTTCGCCCTAACCAGAAAAATCACAGTTTACACTGAGAGGGTTAGAAAGCTTTCACTTCTACGAATTAGGCGAAAGCACAGCGACTCACCTAAGACCATCCAAACAATGAAGCGCACCAGAGTAAGGATGGACAACTTGAAGATTAAGTAGATGTTGACAACAACTGCGATGGCAGGCACCACAGGCACACCGGGGGCCTTGAACTTCAGCTCGCACCTGTCGAGAGGTGAAGAAGCAGAGGATGAACGTTCCAGCATCTTCGGTAGTGGCCGTTGAAGACAAAAAAAGCAAGAGTACGTGAAGTTATTTTATCGCTTACGTAAGTACACCTTACGGAGTCTAAACACTATTTGCGATAACGTAGGGAAGGCATCTAGCACACACATCTGACAGACAGATTCTGCCTGAGTTGGACATGTCTACAGAAAATGTTGGGCTGGGTTTCACAAGAAAAGCGACGTTTTTTTTCCCCCCGCTCGACCGTTACGTTTGCTCGAAACAGAGATCAAGGTCATAAAAGCAATGTAGCCCTGATTATATGACCTTAATGCCAGGGTGTCACTGCACAGCCTGCAGAAACACTTTTGGTGGGATCGTCGTTGGAGTGGGAGCGAATGTTACGGGAAAGCTGAAGTAAGATTTTTTTTTGTTTAATTTTTTGTCTAGAAAATTATTTTGTGCGTAAATTTAGCTAAAGTGAGACACCGGTGTAACTTAGACGACCCATAGCCAAGGCCACTACTCCTGTTGTGGTCGTGTCTTGCGGATTCTGCGTCTTGCGGATTCGGTTACCTGGTTTCTAACGTTCTCGCTAGCTTCCCGTTATTCAAAACTCATTCTCTATGAAGAGTCTTTCGTTAAAGCTATATTCCCATTTTCTCAGTGCCCAAGCACCACACAACACGTGAGATGAAGTACACAATATATTTTCAAAAATACCTGGATGCACCATAGAGGAAAGCCCTTTTGATCGCTTTCGGGTCTCATATAATTCTGTTTATCGCGGAAGACAGTGCAAAAAAAAAAAAAATAATAGAGATGACGAAGGACGACAACTGATAACTCTAGGCGTTGACTGTCAATTCACGTTTTATTTGAAAAGGAACACGAGAAATCACTTGACCAGACCGCTGATTTCCAAATTTCAGTTGATAGTCAGCGGCAAAGTAGAAATTTGGGCTAGTTGGTTCATGATCAGTAAATACAGCGCCAAAAAACGACAGGACAAAGACGAGAGTAAACAGGACGAGGCGCACTCGCAACTAAAGTTTATTTAGGAAAAAACACATAATATATAGGCCGTTAAAAACGCCTATTCATCCCATCAATCCAGAAGACCTCTTGATAAAATCAAACTCCTTCCCTGAGAGGGCAAGGGAAGGCTAGTTAACGCAGTCATCTCCCTTTGCTCTAATCTCAAACGCCTCGTGCACTTCTGGGCATATTTTATCTTTATATTTCGCCAGAACCTTCACATCATGCAAAACTGGTGAGCACGGGCAGCAGCGACTACAATGGACAGCTAGATTACCAGACGGGCTTGCTCTCATAGCTGCCGCATGTTCCCGTGCACAATCATTGACACATCTGCCAGTCTGGCCGATGTACACGGAGCCGCAAGTCAGCGGAATTTCGTAAACCACTCCGACGGCACACTCAGCATATTTGGTTTTGTGTTTTGTGCCGCACTGCTCCATGTCTGTCTGGGGATTATTGATCCTACGGCACAAGCGTGCCATCTTTTCCGGAGCTGAAAATACTACGGGTACTCTAAACCGCTGTGCAACTTTCTTTAAATTATGGGACATGGCATGCAAGTACGGAATGATTACCGGTCTCGTTTTTGGCCTCTCTCTTGCCCGATTGGTTGCCCCTTTGAAATTTTTTTAACAATCCTTCCGCAACCCCAGTCAGGCATCCTTGTGGGAAACCTGCCTTCTGCAGGCGTGAAATCTGTAGATTAAAGCTGTCTTGCACAGAATGATCACAAGATCGTTTTAGGGCCATCTCCAAACACGTGCTAGCAATGCCCCTTTTTACTAATTTTGAAAGGGGCAGACTCGTACGGCAGGATGCATTTCTTAGATCTTGGCTCGTACGCCCAACATATGTGGCTCTCCAGAAAGCGTAGTTTTAGGTCAAGGAACTGTAGTGTCCCTTCTACCGGCTTCTCGTGCGTAAACCTCAGACCTCCAGAACACGAGGAAAACACATCGAGCATCTGGGTTACAACGCCATCCAGCGATCGCTCTGCCAAATCGCTGAACACAAGGTAATCATCAACGTACCTATAAATCTTTATGCTGTTGTCGTGCCCCAGCTTCTCGGCAATGGTGTTGTCACATTGGCTTAAAAAAACATTGGATAGCACCGGCGCGACACACGACCCGATGCAAATGCCCTTCCTTTGGACGTACATATCACCTTGAAAGGGAACATACGTGTGCGACAGATAAGACGACAACAGTTCCAAAAAACTCTCTGCACTGATGCCACTCGAATTGGCAAATGACACCTCACCGTTCCGTTCTATGCATTTTCTAACCCCCGAAAAGAGATGGTCGTGCGGGATAGAATAAAAAAGGTCTTCCACATCCAAAGAAAAAGCACTACGCATCCCATTAGCGTCTCCCTTCAAATAATCAATAATCGTTTCCAAATTTCTAATCAAGAAAGGGTCGTGTTGTTCCAAGCACGTCAGGTGTTTGGCGAGAAAGCTGGACAGCTGGGATTGCCAAGATCCCCTCTCTGTAACAATCGCTCTAAAAGGAATACCTATCTTATGCGTCTTGGCAGAAAAGAAAATGTCTAAATGGAGTCCCTTGCTAGATTGCACACTTTTCAGAAGTCCAGGAAGGTTCATTTCACTGCAAAGTTCCTTAGCGCGCGTCTTGAGTTTGGTCAAAGGTCCCGGACGCACTTTCTTGAAGTTCTTGAGAACAGCCTGCTGAGCCTTCTCATGGTACAAGTCCCGCGGCAGTGCAGAGAGTTTTTTGGAACTGTTGTCGTTTTATCTGTCGCACACGTATGTTTCCTTTCAAGGTGATATGTACGTCCAAAGGAAGGGCATTTGCATCGGGTCGTGTGTCGCGCCGGTGCTATCCGATATTTTTTTAAGCCAATGTGACAACACCATTGCCGAGAAGCTGGGGCACGACAACAGCATAAAGATTTATAGGTACGTTGATGATTACCTTGTGTTCAGCGATTTGGCAGAGCGATCGCTGGATGGCGTTGTAACCCAGATGCTCGATGTGTTTTCCTCGTGTTCTGGAGGTCTGAGGTTTACGCACGAGAAGCCGGTAGAAGGGACACTACAGTTCCTTGACCTAAAACTACGCTTTCTGGAGAGCCACATATGTTGGGCGTACGAGCCAAGATCTAAGAAATGCATCCTGCCGTACGAGTCTGCCCATTCAAAATTAGTAAAATGGGGCATTGCTAGCACGTGCTTGGAGATGGCCCTAAAACGATCTTGTGATCATTCTGTGCAACACAGCTTTAATCTACAGATTTCACGCCTGCAGAAGGCAGGTTTCCCACAAGGATGCCTGACTGGGGTTGCGGAAGGATTGTTAAAAAAATTTCAAAGGGGCAACCAATCGGGCAAGAGAGAGGCCAAAAACGAGACCGGTAATCATTCCGTACTTGCATGCCATGTCCCATAATTTAAAGAAAGTTGCACAGCGGTTTAGAGTACCCGTAGTATTTTCAGCTCCGGAAAAGATGGCACGCTTGTGCCGTAGGATCAATAATCCCCAGACAGACATGGAGCAGTGCGGCACAAAACACAAAACCAAATATGCTGAGTGTGCCGTCGGAGTGGTTTACGAAATTCCGCTGACTTGCGGCTCCGTGTACATCGGCCAGACTGGCAGATGTGTCAATGATCGTGCACGGGAACAAGCGGCAGCTATGAGAGCAAGCCCGGCTGGTAATCTAGCTGTCTATTGTAGTCGCTGCTGCCTGTGCTCACCAGTTTTGCATGATGTGAAGGTTCTGGCGAAATATAAAGATAAAATATGCCGAGAAGTGCACGAGGCGTTTGAGATTAGAGCAAAGGGAGATGACTGCGTTAGCTAGCCTTCCCTTGCCCTCTCAGGGAAAGAGTTTGATTTTATCAAGAGGTCTTCTGGATTGATGGGATGAATAGGCGTTTTTAACGGCCTACATATTATGTGTTTTTCCTAAATAAACTTTAGTTGCGAGTGCGCCTCGTCCTGTTTACTCTCGTCTTTGTCCTGTCGTTTTTTGGCGCTGTATTTACTGATAGTCAGCGCTTGGTCTTGTCAGTTCTGGCCCTTCTCCCTCTGCATGTTTTTGCACTGTTTTCCGCAATGAATATATTTCACATAAAAACACACACATGCATACTAAAAGAGCTAGGTCATGGTGTATTCACTGTGCTTGTTTGGTCTAGCCGATGATAGCACATACAAAGAAAGATGACGAATACCGTGACGCTTCACTTTTTTCGCGGCTTGATTGACTCCATAGTTGAAGTGTTGGCTGTGCTCGGACAGAAGGTGAAGCAAAGCATAGCCCAACTTTACATTCTGATCACGTAATTAATTCATTCTGTCTCTGTAACTGAGTTTCCGATGAGGCGACATTGCACTCACTTGGCCTGCGGCTCCTTCGCGATGAGGAAGACCGACGCCAGGATCCCGGCAAGGCACACGAAGAATAGGATGATGACGAACGCGCTGCCACGCTCGATGGCGCCCACGCCGCACACGACGACCAGGTCGAACGCGATGGCAAATATGTACAGCAGACCGACGAGCTTCATCACCTTCAGCCCCGAGCCGTCCGTGGCCGGGCCCTGGTGGCTCTGCAAGAAGGGCACCAGGTAGCCCAGCTGCTTCATCTTCATCTCCCACCAGGTAGGCTGCTGGAACATGTCTTCCTCGATGCTCTCGCCGTTGGCCAACATCGAGCCGTAGTCGTGCTCGGGGACCCCGAGTCCTCCGCCACCGTCCCCTCCAGGGAAGCCCGTGGAGACTATCCTCCGCTCGTCTTCGTCACTGTCCGGCGTGAGGACCCTGTTGGTGCGCTTGGTGCGGATGGTGGTGGTGGTCGAGCCGATGGTCAGGTTGCGAAGCGAGGGCACGATGGGCGGTGGAACCTCGCTGCTCGGGGTCGGGCACTGGGAACGGACCGACTCCGGCAGGAACTCCACCAGGGTCTTGGTCCGGGGCTGGTAGCGCAACAGGAGCACGCAGGTCGATACCAGGGTGTATGCCATCAGAGTTCCTGTGGTTAGAAGGCGATTGGTTGAACGTTCCTCATTGATGTTCACGCTAGCGGTATGTCTGGCAGCTGTGAAAAATATAAGGAGCAGCTGACTGTTCTGGAATGAAGATGTCCAGCCACCATATGCGGTCATTGTACTTTCCCTAATGTCGCAGCATTGTTGGGCGCCAGCGCTCTGTCATGACCGCTAGGCGTTGTCATCCATTGTGTGTCTTGCAGAGTGGAGAACAAAAATCTAGCTGATATAAATCAGTATTTAAATCATTATTTAAATCGTGGTACAAATCAGACCAGTCTCCCTGTGATGATTTTAATGAAACCTTTGCCGCAAATATAACCCAAAATATTTTTATTCACCATATGTCTATCACTTCTATCTTATGATGCTCTCTGTGCGCTTTTGCTTTGTATTTAAATCGGGGAATAATCAAGCAAGAAATATACATATCAGGTTCAACCCAAGCACAAAGCAGCGGACTTTTGATCAATTCGGAAAGTTGAGCTTTCTTTATACCATTCACTTCGTGCGTCAGCTAGTAATGTCCTATTGCAAGTAAACAAGAACGCGAAAACAATCTAACGCCACAAAAGTAATGTTTTGTTGCAATAAAATCAGAACACACAAGAAGAAGCAAATAAAACTTTTTCGCTAACATAAAAATACCAAGCTTTTTTTTTTTACATACTCGATAAAAAGGTTGTTAATTAAACTGTACCTAAAATTTACAGTAATATTTTCCGTATTGTTTAGAGTAATCGGAATTACTGATCTACCAATCTTATGTTTAAAATACATCTAGTGACTAACATACACAATTTTTTGGCCACAGGGATTTAAGTTAAATAAATCTGTACTAAATAAAATCAAATTGATTTAAATAAGATAAGATAAATCAAACAAATCTGACTTATTTTCTTTTTCAAATCATATGTATATTATTTTGTTACCCTGCTGTTTTTGACAATTTCACGCCGGACAAAGTGCGATGACATATTGAGGTAGGTGAGAGAAATCGCACTAGCCCTGCGTTATCTAGCGCGTGAGTCAAACAGATTGTTCCCTTCGAGTGGACCGCATAAATCGGTTCCTGAACGTGTCAACTTAAGGTTTCATACAAAGGGGGCCGAAGGCAATGTCTTTTGCGTATTAAAATTTCAAGAAATACATTTAACTCAATAAAAAAGTTAAAAAAAAAAAATTAAGAACGTGAAATTGCTACCTACGGCGGCCGTCTGCTAACGAAAAGATCGGCGCAACAGCGAACAGAAGAGGACAGGTAAGGGCCAGGGCACAGACACTGACTTCCGATAGCAGACGATGTATTTGAGTCAAGTGCGGCACAGGTATTTTTCGGTGAAGTGCGTGATCTTGTTATTTCTACTCATAAAACACTCGGAATTGGCGCAACAAGAAATAACCTTTGTCGGGCTATTTCGGCCATATATCAACAGCTGCCGACATGTCTCTGTCGTTGCGACACCCAGATGCCTTTGTATCGCAGAGGACCGCCGTAGCTAGGGAATTCGCGTTCTTAATGTTCACCCTTTATAAACTAATTATTGAAAATTCATATCCTCAAAATGCACGAACTTTAGCCACCTCCGTACAAAACCTTAAGTTGATACATTAAGAAACCGCGGACCCTTCAAAGAGCCAATAATCTCTGACTCTCTTGTAAATGTGATGTCAGTGTAATGGGGTTCTCTATGGTTTAACAGATACTGGCCTTGATTAAATGTTTACCGCTTTCCTACGACTGCTACGTGTGAACAAATCTGACGGTTATTCCCGAAATCATGCCAAGCATAATTTCGATTCTTTATTTTCATTCACCGGAACACGCGTGAAGTTGTGGGGAGAAACTTGCCGATGGACATCATCTCCACGAGTACGTCGAGACTCATGACGACGGAGACCACTGCTGTGGCTCCTCCTAGGAGTAATGTTGCGAAGGCTGGGGTCTCGGTGACGGGCCACACCTTGGCCAGGGCCCTGGACAGATGAGAGAAACGAGAGTTAAAATGTGTTCTAGAACGGAGTAACCATAATCAAACTCGGCTCCTTCTGTTACGAGCTGAGGTCGTGTTGCGTACCACGCTAGACAGACTAGATTTACGAGTGGGAGCCACTCCAACGAAGGAGGGCGTTTGCACTTTCAGGACGAACATTTCCTTCGAAGATTGGTTGAACATGCGCACGCGTACGTTGCCACGTGACGAGGACGATAGGGGATGAAGGGGCTCTGCAAAGCTAGAGAGGCGCTTGGAGACAATGGACGATTTCGCCGCCTCCTCGCACCTTGGGTTGCAAACGTGGCACGTAAACCACGTGACGCCGAGAGAGCAGTCAGTTGGAAACACTCTTAGATATTGGCACGCCGCATCCCCAGCTTTCTTGAACATGAACGCCTCGGCGCATGCAATATATAATGAACATTTCAACTGAACAACAACGAACATCGCAAGGTTCTCCGAAAAACTTTAGCATACTAATATGTACTAATTAAACTTTTGGACATTCGCAAAATTATAAATTCCAGATTTTCCTGACAAAAAATTGTAATATTCCCCAGGTCTGTAATTGCTTGGGTATCATAGGACGAAAATCAATCATAATTTTGGTAGTTCATTGAAAATTTTTTATTCTACGTGATGTCCCAGAAAGTTGGTCATGAACTAGACTGTACTTGATCTCAACAATTGTGTAGAGTGCTGCCGATGGCATTGTTCCGAGAGCGTTGCAGTGCGAAATGCGTCCTTAGCGCATGTTGCGCAATTGTTCTTGTAAAATTACTACCTTGCTATCTTACTGGCACATGCCACAATTCTTGAGATAGATGATAAATGTTGCTTCATTAAATAGTGGCTAAAGTTTGCACTGTTTTTGAAAATATTTAATTCCCTAATTTGAATTTTGAAATAGCTTAAAATTGGAAATAGCACTCTAAAAAAAATGGTGTATTCTTACAGTCTTTGTCCCATATAATACACCCCAAAACATCAGTTCGACGTCCAGCGCACTGACGTCGATATAACAGTACTATCTTTCGCATAAGGCTTGATAGCCGTGTGATAGAACTTATTAAAATATAATGTACGTGTTAATGACTACAAAAAAAAAATCGTTTTTTTTTGGCCTTATTGCAAAACCTCAGCGTTTTCTTTCTGTGGTCTTTGATACATACTTTAGTTATTTAATAAGTTATATCTCACCGTTATCAAGCCCCTCGTAAAGTTTGGGGCCGTCTGTTCGACTATAGTGCGCTGTACGTCGAATTGAAGTTTTGGGGGTGCATTATATGGGACAAAAGGGCGTAAAGTGACACCTTTTTTTTAGATTGAGTGCTCGAACAATATAACCGACCGACCACTCACCCACAGAGGTGTCGGGTATGTATCAAGGAGACAACAAAATTTTTAGCTTTATCTGGGTACTGTTAGTGTCGAGAGACTGTCTATGGTGTATAGTACATGTATGCTACTTAATAGCGCTCACGCGAAGGCAAGCTTTGGCAATCTTTCAATTGTACGCGCTATCTTCATGAGCAGAAATATGGCTAGTGGTCGCAACTCCGGGGGTTCCTGATCAGTTGTCTCATCATACTGGAATGCAGGCCCAGCGCTTGCCGTGGAACTGCATGCTACCGCTTTTGTCTCATCTTTTCATCTTAGTGCGGATCGCGTCAACATAATGAGCTTCACGCTTGAAAAAGAGCCAATGGTTGTAAAAAAATTTTGTTAAATAAATGTGCATCTATAATTGTGGGCCGTTAGTCCACAGAGCCTTTCTGAAGGCATCTGATGGTATTTTGATACGTTGTTTGTTTCGAAGTAAAACACGTAAATGACGGAAACGTTTAATCGTCTATATTAACCGTTAACGGGGCACTAAAGTATCTTTAAAATTGGTTGTAGGTGAGTACGCTGCTTCACTTTGACGTAATATTTCGGCAGCGATAATATTTCGTGCCACAGAAGCGATATCAGTCATTAATTTTTATTTCGTTTTTGACCGGAGTCGCCCATTAAACCTTGGCCACTGCTAGTTACTCTAAACCTTTATACATTTGTCTAAATTAATAAAAATGTTCGATAAAACTGTTCGGCCTCGAATCGTCGTGCATCTTGTTGACTGTTTCATAGGAAGAGTCAGAAATGCGAGCTGCCTGAAATGGTAACCGAGGGTGCTTCTTTGGCCTAGTGTGTCTGCGCACCGCAGCTCCGAGCGCATGGCGCAAAAGCCTGCATTGCAGGACCCAAAGATGCTGGCTTCAATCCCAGCCCCTGCGTTTACCGCCCTGCGGTCTTCCATCACTACTGCGTGACCCCAGGCTAGCAGACGGTCAACGGTGTCTGGAACGCGGATCTCACTGGCCTGTTTAGCGTCCTATTTCGCCTCACTGGCGTGTTTAGCGTTACATTCCGCCCACGTATCGAACATGGTCCCAAGTAGCAACAAAGGATGTCACAAAAGCCGGAGTGCCATGCTGTCGGATGTCGCGATCCTGGCGGTTGGTCGTAGGAGTTCCGGCAAAAAGCACGAGACAACGCAGGTGTCGCTGTCGTCGCAGCGTGGCAACTCCGGGCTGCCGAAGCGTTAGTAGACTGCCAGGCTGGAGAACAACCTGCGGCCATACCTCGGCAAACCTCACTCATGAGGGCCATCACTCACCCTTACTCACCTTCATCTTCACAGGTGAGGTGAGGGTGAGTGAGTTTCTGAGTCAAGAAAATTCATGAGTGTGAGGATGAGTGAGGGTCGTGAGGTCGTGAGGGGTGTGAGCGCTGTGGGTACGTTGAGTGAGTGAGGGGCGTGAGGGTGAGGGCCATGAGTGGTAAGGGGTGTAAGGGCTGTGTGGGCCGTGAGTGCGTGAGGGGTATGCGTGCTTGACGGCGGTGAGTGCGTGAGGGGCATGAGGGCCATGAGTGCGTGAGGGGTGTGAGGGCTGTGAGTGCGTGATGGGTATGAGGGCCATGAGGGCGGTGAGTGCGTGATGGGCGTGAATGCGTGAGGGGCGTGAGGGCCATGAGTGCGTGAGGGGTGTGAGGGCCGTGAGCGCGTGATGGGTATGAGTGCGCCAGGGCCGTGAGGGCGGTGACTGCGTGAGGGGCGTGAGGGCCACGAGTGCGTGGGGTGTGTGAGGGCCGTAAGGGCTGTGAGGGCCTTGAGTGTGTGAGGGGTATTAGTGCGTGAGGGCCGTGAGGGCAGCGAGTGTGTGAAAGGCGTGAGGGCCATGAGTACGTGAAGGGTATTAGGGCTCTGAGGACCGTGAGTGGGTGAGGGGTAGAGCACGTCAGGGCCGTGAGGTCGGTGAGTGCGTGAGGGGCGTGAGGGCCGTGAGGTTCAGTGAGGGTGAGTGAAGGGCTGAAGGTGCGTGCGACTGTGAGGATGAGGGTGAGGGGCTGAGGGTGAGTGTAGCTGTGAGGGTGAATGAGGGGGTCAGGTGAGTGTTGCTGTAAGGGTGAGGGTGAATGACGGCGTCCTGAAATGCCGACCTCTGCCTGCGACAGACCAGGCGTCTGCCACGTCCACCACCGCTGCTGTGACACTTTCAGGATCGCGGCCGGCGACTGTGTGACACTTGTACGACGTCACACGGCGAAAATCGAGAGACCACGCTTTTTGGACGCGGTAAACACACAGTCGGAGACGCGTTCCAGGCACCATAGTGGTACTGCTCTAGTTAAATTTCTCATCTACAGAGGCGACACCAGGATTGTCACTGGGCAGGCTAACTTTCCGTTGTCTAAGCAAACACGCGAGACAACGTAATTACTTTACAGCACCTGAAGATGAGGCCGTCCTTGGCCATGGCGTAGACGACCCTGGGCATGGGAAACATGGAGCCCAGCATGGAGACGACGAGGCCCGCGAGCGCGCCCACCGCCACGATGTAGTGGCAGCTCGGGGCCCCGCGCTGGGCGAACATCTCGACCAACCCCGAGCCGGAGTTGATCTCGCTGTACGGAACGATCAGCGTCACCTGGAAAAAAAAAGGTTTCTCCTTTAAAGCATAGAATCACTTTTAACGGAACCTCCAAACATGTGTCCTTCCGTCCATCCCTCTATCCATCCATCCATCCATTTGCTCGCTAATTTAATGCGAAAATTGATGTCATGTGACGTCACGGTATCACGCAACCCCACGACTGGACACCGTAACGTGAGGTAGCGTGACGTCAATTTTCATGCTAAATCTAGCGGACAATCTTATAGGGAAAAGTTTTCGCCTAAATTTTGCCTGGAAACTTATCAAGAATCTGTTCATCTTCACTCCTCGAAACGCCTGTTTAATTTTTTATGCCAATTTAAACAACCGCTTTATAAGTACTGCATTGCGTGCATCATAAGAGTTTAAAGACTATCCTCGAGCCGAAGTTGATCTTGCTGTACTGTGCGTGCGACCAGCGTCCCCTGTTACAAGGTCAAATGGACGTATGTTTAGGATTCCGCTTTCCATGGTTCTTCTTTCTTGTGGACCTTTCCTGGCTGCTTCGCAACTTGTAGATTTTATTTTGGTACTTAAGTGACGTCGTAGTCTGGCTGAAGTACCCCCACCCACAAGATAGAGAACACCGGTGCCGACTTTGACTAGAGTAGATTTGATTCTTTTTCTTATCTATCAAAACTTGAAGGGGTTGACTCATCAGTATTCACGTAAAGGAAAGCATACGCCCGATCCCAGGCTTGAGCAATAATACTGTGAAGAATCATGTGTATCAGGAGCTTGAAGTAAAAAAACGAGACCGTTTGAAGTAGAAAACATTGTTATATTAGAAAACAACATGTGAAGAATAAAACACACTATCTAAATTTACACACGAAAAACAACGAATGGCTTTGGGGAAATAATTACAGAAATGCACGTTCGACAGATTGCTCTCGCATGTCGGCACACTGTTTAAATGCTGCTCGCTAAAGGCAACCCGAAAGTTCACTGTAACAACTTTTCGCTTTCTTGTTTCGTGGCGCTGGGTCTTGCGAGGTGTTGTGCGATGGAGCGCCGACAGAGCACGTACCGGAAACCCCAGGGTTCAGCTTGAAGCCAGTGGATCGGAGGCGGCGTTGGCACGGCGTCGGCGTCTGGGGTGGCGTGTTGAAATAGACGGGGCCGCTGTGGTCTTGACGTGTGCTTCGCAACACGTGCACCTGCTTTCAACTGGTGTGAAGGCTTCGCAAGAGCCCGGGGTCAGGCCAGGTGGAAGCCTTGAAGAACCCGGGTCTGGACGCTCGGAGGTTCCCTTCCACACGCTAGTCTGCCCGCTCGAACACACTCCATTTTCTGTTCTCCGCCTTCCTTCTCTTTTTTCTTTTTTGATGCAGGGCACGTGGCAGGTGCCACGAGGATGACGCGCGCACACACACACAGTTCGTCGTATGCACAACGCGGCACGAAGATGACCCGGCACGTGCACATACACACCGTCGAAATCCGCGCACGTTACAAATACACCACACGAAGGAGAACGCCGCGGACGGATGTCATGACGTCAACAACCCGGGAAACTCCGTCCCCGGCTCCGCCGCGTGCACCTGCGGAGCTCTCATGCTAAGAGTACGAAGCCTCCGCGCCTCCGCCACGGAGGAGAAGGCGCCACGAGGCGTCAAAAAGGAATGACGTATGTCGCACGTGATGCGCGATCCGCGGAGGAAAGGGGCGGATTTCTCCTTCGTGTAAAGGGGTATCCACACGAAGGAGAACTCCGCGGACGGATGTCGTGACGTCAACATCCCGGGAAACTCCGTCCCCGGCTCCGCCGCGTGCACTTGCGGAGCTTTCGTGCTGTCGGCACAAAGCCTCCGCGCCTCCGCCACGGAGGAGAACGCGCCGCGAGGCGTCAAAAAGGAATGACGTATGTCTCACGTGATGCGCGATCCGCGGAGGAAAGTGGCGGATTTCTCCTTCGTGTGGATACCCCTTTAAAGTAGTATTGTTAATTGAGATACTGTATCATTTCTCCACGATTCTTTTTTATGTTTTTCGCACCGAGTCCAACAATGGTTAGATATGTTTCTTGCGTTTTTTACGTTAGTTATCTAGCGGTTTTTACCTTGTAGTTGCAGGGCCTGCTGAAATAACTCGCGGTATTTTGCAAATAAACCAATAAAATATAAAAGCTTTATTTATTAAAACAGACATACTACATTAAGAAATGAAATATAAGCGGTTCAGAGATCACAGATTTCAAGGTTCAAAATGTTGCGGCCCGTACCATCATACTTGATGTGATGTAGGCTGTCAGAACGATGGCCAAGCTGAGGATGATGGCTGTTGGAATGGACCACTTGGGATTTTCGGCTTCTTCGCCCGTTGTGGCAATGATATCGAAGCCAATGAAAGCGTAGAAGCAGGTGGCCGCGCCAGCTAGGACCTGCGTTCAAGAAAACATCGTGTTAAACAAGAGATTGAGATGCCAACAAAGTAATTTTTAGTTGAGAATCCTTCGCAGCGAAGGCATAAAACTGTTACGTTTGTCACGGTTTATTAAAGCAGCTCACAATCCACACACACACAAAAAAAGTATGAGAGTTCATTTTCTTGCGAAACACGTAGGTAAATAATCGGAGCGAACAATAAGAAAGCTCAGAATATGATTAGATTTGGAAAATGCGATGTGCACAGACACATGGAGAAAACAAACAAACAAGCAAAAAAAAAAAAAAAAAACGTCATGCTCATTGACCCTAAATATACCGTAGTTCCTTTTTCTTTTCTTTTTTTCTGTGAAGTTGCATTTTAATCTCTGCATTCCCTGAGAGCCTTCTGTTGTTAGTTGGGCTTCGCTGTCTCAGTATGCTGCAGAAAGCTAAACTCGCGGACCTTTTTTTTAATAGTGCATGGATTATTGACCAACAGGTGGAAAGGATGGGACAAGGTATATGGCCCAGAATTATATATTTTATATCGCAAATAAGGCATCCTGTCATCACTTTAGGACTGCGCATTACCTGTCATCTATCTAGTTTCCTTAGTTACGCGCAAATTCTGTCCGCCGTCTGAGCTCTTCGTTTATTTTTTATAGCGCTGTTTAGCTATGTTTCTTCGCTGTGTTTATCACTGCTATGGTATTTATTTCTAGTCAATTTTCGTATTGGTAGTGAGTGACGTTTATGGACAGGACGACGTTGTCTTGGTACCGCAATTTCGAGGGCTACTTCGACACGCCACCGTGATTGCCTGCCAGCACGCTCTGCAGAAAAGAACACGTACGTGCCTTTTGCTCTGATTCGGCTTTTGTGTGCCCCCTTCGTGTACTACCTGTGTGTAAAAGACGCCCCATTGTGTGGACTGCCGTGTTCACCTGAGCAGTAGCCCCAGAGTTTACGAACCACGCCGAATAGTCTCTTTATCGCCGGAGTTTGTGAATCATAGCTTTCTACAGATATACATATAAAAGTGCCAAAAAGTGTTCCGTTCATGAGCACCCATACGTATCTAGAGACATACGTTCGGTTTCGGGCTTGTGTCCAATCTCTGCGGGTACGGAAATAGCCGAAATATGGCAGTGCTCGGAGCACGAACACGCGCCCGGCGCTTTACTAACACCCAGCCCATGGCTCTGACGATATTGTGGCACCGTAGCACGTGGCTTTTTGTTCCGCTTGCGAGTTGGAAGAGTGAAGCTTGCTGGTTTCTTTCCAATGTTTTCTACGACTTGTAGTACTTGAAAAAAAAAAAATCGGATGTCCGTTGTTATGAACGACAAAGCTTCATTCTGAGCAGTATCTAAAAAAAAAAAAGTTTCATAGCCACCCTTAATTTACGACAAAAAAGAGCTGTCGGGTGCCCATTTGACGGCTTGCTCCCAATGTTCATCACAGCCGCCGGCGTTAGTTGACAGTAATCAGATTATCGGAATGGTTTGATTTCGTCGATTTCCATCACCACACCCATAGGCGACGAATGTAAACCCGAATATTCGCCGACGCAAGGATTGCTCAAACGTAAAGTGGCAGGTGGTGCAAGCAAAGCAGTTCTCTTAATTTCTTTAAAAATTATTTTCTCAGGGGAAATAAAGTTTTAAAAATGCGATATATTTTTACTGTTCAATAATGACTACTCCTATATTGGCAATCGTCGACTGACCCAACTTATAGATTTATGTCGAAACGTGGACCGGAAGGAAGGAAGACAAAGAAGTTAACCTGGGGTATTTTTTTCCTGGTTTGTTACTTTGCTTTGGGGGAGCGGGATGAGTGGATTGAAGGAGAGGAGAAAGACCGATCCTTGCATGATGCCTAACACAGGATGTTGGGCTCATCTAGAATATGTTTGAATTTCTTCTTGGCGCGCGCACAAAAGAGGTATGTTTAGTGTTTGTGCCTGCATGCCCACTTCTGATTCTCTGTTGGGTCTGGGGATAATTTAACTAAAAAAAAAAAAAAAAGCCACTGCCCCAGTAAACCAATCAACGCGCCGTATTATGGGGCGTGAAACCATCGGTGGAAGCGCATAACTCTTGTGGAGAGCTGGAACGCGCCTCGCTTTGTCACTGTGATTGGCTATATTGACGGCCGATAAGAGCCTACAATCATTGACCGAGATCGTTGGAAAACAAATGCGCGTGCAAATTGTATAAATAAATGAAATCATGAGGTAAGCAAACAGCTGACGAACTTGCACACTATAAGGGCGCTCATGCAAAGGAACCGTCTATTCGAGTAGAAAATAAGTCTTAATAATGTATTTTATAATTTTAAAACGGCATTAAATTGGTAGCTTTATAGGGCCAACAAACCTCAGGACCCGCGTAAACAAGCTACGTGTAGGTGGGTCAATCCGTAACCACTAAACGATCTTGAAAAATAAATGAAAAAACGGGACCCGGTGTTCGGGATTAAACCCCGGTCACCGGCGTCGAAGCCGAATGCGCTGCTGACTAAGCTACAGACCCTGTACGCAGAAACGGGAGGAGCAGAAGTAGGTGGTATGAAAAAGCGCACGGAGCGGAGGGAGTTGGAAAGGACAGGGAAGAGAAGAGCAGAAACATTTGGTGTAGAGAAAATGCGCGGAACGAAGAGAGAAGTGGAAGGGGCAGGAAAGCGCGAAGAGCACCGCCCACCCCAGGCACTAAAAGAATAAGGCTCATCCTGCCTGTATGCACCACCCGAACTAAGAGCACAAGCCACCCTATGAAGTTACCGCATCTAAACGCACTGACAGCTTAAGAAACGCAGGGACGCAGGGCTTAATACGTTCACGCTTCCTGTATTGCGTTTGGTGCTCGGCGTTCGTATCGGCTAACTGTGCAATCTGATTGGCTGAGGAGCGATAACTAGATGCAGCTACGCCCTGCGTTTCTTAAACTGCCAGTGATTATGCATATGATAATCTTCATTGGGTTAGAGTACTAAGCTCACGACGTACGGGTACTTTTTTTTGCAGCGTGCAAGCTGCGGCTGACGCCTAGCCATTTGATTCGTACCTCTGTTTGCACACCCCTATGACGTTTATCTTCTCAATGAAAGATATTCGAATAGTGCCTAGAATTGAAATGCGCACCGTCTACCGTAGCTTTAACACTCTAGAGAGACAGAGAGCAAACAGTGGTAGGTCGTGCCCCCAGCAGCAATGCGAATGGTCCACCGCGATCCTGAGTATTCTTGTTCCTGACTGCATTAGCCGGGAATACCACAAAGACAGCGAGTCACGTGACGATTCATTTCCGGGGCACTGCACGATCTACTCCACGGACCTAAAGAGAACCGGAGTATGCAATATGTTCTGTTTTACTCTTAATTTGTTTATAACAACCCGAGGAACAATGCAGTTGTAAGAGAGCACTGACTCCGGACCATCCGTATGGCAGGAAGCCTCCGTGCTGCGTCCAGTTGTCTGAGTTGACGAAGAAGAGCCCGGCGCCCATGATGAAGACCCAGACGGCGAAGTTGAGGCAGTTGAGCACGTTGTTGAAGAGCAGCGACTTCTTCACGCCGGCCAGCATGAGCGACGTCATCAAGATGGTGATGATGCCCGCTAAGAGATCGGGAGTGTGGCCTGCGTAATACGGGAACATTATGGGCTGGTAAAATGATCGCCGATCTCGAATGCGCTTCGGCCCTCGTAACTTGCATCGGGATTATAATCCTCGTGTAACATGTTGGTAGTTGTCCGTATGACCTTTAATATTTCTGAGCAGAACCTGCCGGGTGGAATAGCTGAAACTTCAGTAACGGTTTTTTTCCAGTTTTTAATAAAATATGCCAACTGTCGTAACAGAATATGCTACACGATGGGGATGTCTAATTCTAAAGATTCGCAAGAAGAAACAGAAAAGGGGACAAGTAGCTTGAAACTTCGAGGGCAGATTACTGCTCTTTGAAAATGTTTTGCAAATATTAATATCAGCTTCATAGTACTGAGGGGGGAGGGGGGGGGGGAGACGTCACTGATGCTGGTAGTTGGCAGACACTGTAATCGCTATAAGACTTCACGGGCTGGCACTCGAAAGAAGCGCTTGAATCAATAAGTTCAGATGGAATTTCAATTTTGTACACAATTTCTCTAGTCTTATTTGAGTTTATGTGCTTTTCTTGTACATTGCTTCCAGGCTCACGGAACGAACCGTGCCGTACAGTCTCCGGCAATATGAAAGACCCACTGGGAGCGCGTGGCCGAGGCGGTGGCTGGCGGAGGCGCTGCGAGCGCTCCGGGCAATTCCATTCTGCTTCGAGGAAAGGACGCTCACTCGGGCTCAGATAAAGCGAAACACGCTTATCAGATTGTGCTGAGCCTCGAGTGAGCGTCCTCCCCTCGAAGCAGAATGGAATTGCCCGGAGCGCTCGCAGCGCCCCCGCCAGCCACCGCCTCGGCCACGCGCTCCCAGTGGGTCTTTCATTTCGCCGGAGACTGTACATATGAAATAAAATATACGGTCGCAAATTCCTGGGAGTACGATGATTCTAGTTAATAGTACAATTTGCATAATTCACTCTAAAACTCGATGCCAGTTGAGGTGAAACAGTTTTATCTTAATATTAAATTACGCTCGTACATTACAGTGGATGCCTATTTTTTTAAGTTGTATCTTGACTTATACATTTTATCATTATATGCATCCTAACACATCTCCTTCCTGTCATGCTGACGCCTACAGCCGTCTGGAAGGCTCCTAATATACCCGGAATTTTCTTATTCAAAGCCATCAAACTCATTGACATCGCCACTTCTTTTGTTCTTTATTAGCTCAGATTATGTTTCAATTATACCAACGCAAATGCGTTGAGATATAAATACGATGAAATAGCAAGCAGTGCAGCAGTTTAAACGCATTACGACTATATTTCATCTTTGTAATGAACAAGTGTTTTCGCCACAGAAAATGACAATAAAAAATAGTAAAGACTTAGAAAGCCGAACATTACACAATAAAAAAAGTCATCTCACCAATTATTGTCCCGAAGGTTTTCCGGAAGGCCTCGCTGATGGCGCCGTCCAGCATGGCGTCGATGCAGGCACTGATGGCGCATGCCCCGGCGGCCGAGCCAATCAGGTACTCCAGGATCATGTTCCAACCAATGACGAAAGCGATGAACTCTCCCACCGTGACGTAGCTGTACATGTAGGCGGAGCCCGTGGTGTGGGGCACACGGACGCCAAATTCCGCGTAGCAGACGCCTTCGCAGAAAGAAGCCGCCATGGACAGAACAAAAAAGAGCAACATAGTTTTAGTGTTTTGTTTTTAGACCCATGCTCTCAAAGACGTAATAGTGTCCCTTTTCCATACAGACCCTGTACCTTCGAAAGAGGAGGTCCATAGTCTGCCGTAGATCTGATCTTCTTGGACACCAATGCTGCTTCGTGTTCCAATCAAGATCAGAGCTCGTACCTATGGTCGAGACACTTATTTCCCAAACATCGTGAACCTGTGCGTACCAGCGTTCCGATTCTCTCTTCAGCCAGACGCAATCGTGGTGCCCTGTCGCCTTAATAACAAATCTTATCTCTCGGCAGCTGACGAGATTGCGGAATTGGCCGATGAGGACTCCAAAGAACGAATTTCGAAGCAAGAAACGTGATCATAGGAAGTCACGCCCAGTGCATTTTAAGCTGTCGATAACTTATAGATGTCATAGACACTGCTTATCATGTAGAAGCCGCATACCCTGTCTAAACGTATACACACCTCATCGGATAGGTAAGCATCAACTACCTAACCGCTGTTCTTTCTGCTAAGACAACCTAGAAGTCAAGGCCTGTTCACACAATTGCAACCGAGTAGGACTGTTTGAGATAAAACCGGCTTTCAAGCTTCTTGCGATGGCTTAGGACCGGGTGCGCCGCTGCGGAGCTGGTTCTAAGCCGTCGCAAAAAGCCTTAAAAACCGGTCTTGTTTCAGCCGGCCTTACTTGGATGCAAGTGTACGAAAGGCCTTAAGTAAGAACGCAGCATGTAAGAACGATATATGTGCATGTCATTTTTGTACTTTAGTGTAACACGTCAGATTTACTAAGGTCTTACGCATCTGGACACAGGCTTTTTTTTTTACTGCAGAACCAACTAAAATCAACGCAAACTTCTGTTTTGTTTATTTGAAAGCACCGGACTGCCAGGAAACGTGCGATCGTGCGGGCGGGCTCACAAAAGACGAAGGTATTCTGAGCGGGTCATGAAGCACCGAGTCTTTTGTGAACCTATCAGTCCGAGAGAATAATTGCGAGGCACGAGGCCCCTACGAAGAACATTGCGGTCGAAAACAACGCTCCTTGTGCCTAAGAAAAACACATCCTGCGTCCAGCCATAGTTGGGAAGTTCAAGGCCTGCTTATAGTCCCTTGCAACTCGAGAAGGTTGGGCGAGGGTAAGGATGGCCGAAGAGGAGGAAGCAGACGGAACGCTAAAGAGAGAAAGAGGTTTTCCCCCAAGCATTCCGTCTGCTTCCTCCTCCCCGGCCCGTGTTACCATTGCCCCAGCGTCTTGATTTGCAACGGACTATAGTTTGCTTCTCGCATAACCCTTTTCCTCTCTTAACTCCTTTATCTCTATTGCCGTTCCTAATACGCGTTTTTGTGCAAAAAAAGAAAAACACGTAGAGACAGACGAAATATGCACGTGGTGCGTCCAAACCCTACCGAAAAAAAAAAACACAACTAAAGACAGGCACATATATAAGCGATATTAAAACAAATATATATAGATATTAAACAGTTTCATCAGTATACTTCACAATTTCAAGTGGTCAAAGACAATCTCCCATTTCTAATACACGTAATATACACAAAAACGTAAAACATCGATGGTTGCTCCGCGCCACATCTGTTTAATTGAAATATTGGCAATTGGAAAATTAATAAAGACAGCTGAAAAGAATCATTTTCATTTGTGTGCCATTTGACGTGTAAAATATGCTAGACAGCCATTGTCGAACATCAAATTGACCAGCGTGTTCTTCAGTGAAAAAGACGCGTACAATATTTTATACGGTTATTAGGCTGGGCGATTAATGGATTAAGGCTTTAATCAGCAATAATAGTTTTAACCGGTTATTCGGCCAAATCTTGACAAACCAAAAGAAAGTAAAATTTGAACTCTTTCACCACGTAGACGTGGACGAGAACACCTGTGTATGAAGTGCAAACTTTAGGGGAAATTTGAGCCTAAAGTAAACTGTAGGGGAAAGATTTGTAGCTCCAGATCAGTCCAGATCGTTACACGTGTCCCGGGCACTTCAACGCCGTGCTAATGTCTGCTTAGCGCAGCAGACTATTGTGAACCATCATACGAGGTCGCTCTTGCCAGAGAATATCAACGAACCGCTTTGCCTCGTGCAGCTGAAGCGTGAGTGTCTGCAGAATTTGTGAGTGTGAGTGCCTTTCTAAAAGTTCTCAACAGCATATCGAGGTTCATTCATAATCAAAATTGTCGAAATCAAAAAGATTTGGAACTTTTATATATATTATGCGTGTAAATGAACATGACCAAGTAATAGATTAATTAATCGATTAAATTGTAGCGATTGCTTTAGCTAAATTTTAATATACACCCAGCCCTAATTTTTGGTCATGGTATTATGAGATTTAGGTGGTATGGGTCATATGTAATTTGTAAGTACCTATATGAACAAAAATCAGGGGCGCAAGCAAGCTCCTGAAGGTTCAACATGATAGCTTAACTCGAAATGGGCTTTTCTAAACGATTGCAACGAATTTAACGGCGTTAATGTCGTTCCTCAAAAAAAAAAAAAAAAAAGATTGACGTAATGCCACAGAGGATAATACGTATTTCTTGTCCGTTCATGTGTTTTATGTATTGTTCTCACCCTTCTTGTTGCCGGCAGTTTATAAGAACAAGAATGCCACCTATCCCCCCGTTAATTCACGGCAAAGCCATTATTACGTATTGCGGCAGGCTCCAAACTAGAGTGAAAACCATCATGGTAAGAAATAATGCCTTACACACCGGAATGCCATGTACTGATTGTCCCTCAAAATATTTACAAGGTTTCATCCCCGCAAAAATAAAACTACACATCGCAGAAGGCTCATTCACCACCCAAATGTAACCTTAGTGGTTCGAACCAGACGCCAACATTTACGAACTCGTCATCATCTTAATCAAAAGTTATAAGCGATTGTCTGAAATTTTCAATGGAAAAGTGTCTGCCGACGGAGCTCTCAAATATATGGAACTGTATTGCGCCAGTCTTGAAAGTAAACATATTCGACAGATATCTGCCTGGTTGGGTGAGAGTTAAAGTCTGAAAATATATCTCCAACCAAAAAATGAAAGGCAACCCGACGTTTCAAAACCAACACGATTTCATCTTCAGGGGTGACTGCGCCAGTTATCGAAAAAGGTCAACATATGGGCACCATTTTCCGATTCAATGTGAACTGCCTTTCCCCCCAAAAATTCTCCACAAGGTTTTTTTTTTTTTTTTTTTTTTTTAATTATTATTTGTTTACAACCGTTCCGAAAGAAAGTACGACGAATAACCGCGGTTCTTGCCCGAACTTCGTACGATTAACGCGTGCAAGGTATTTTTATTCCTTCGTTTCCCCAAAGCATTGCCTGTTTTCAAAGTTACCATCACTGTTCTCCGTTTCCCCCAACGATGTCTGAAGATGCTACGAGCCATCGAAACTAATCCAATGCCGTTTGAGTGTCGCTTGACTTCCTTCGGGAGGAGCGCAGCTGTGGAGTAATGCAATATTCTTCTTTGTTTCAGCTTAAGTCCAGACGAAGTCAATGCTACGAGGTCATGGTTCCGATGAAGCAGACTCAAAAGCTCAAGTCACTAAGCCTTTTCTGTTTTTGATCGGTTCAGCGTAATATAGAACACGTACAGAAACGCGACAAACACCAAGATGGTACGCCTTTGAAGCGTTCTGATTGGTCCCATCAGCTCGTAGCGTAAGCTAGCTGTGTCTGAACTTAAGATAAAACAAAGTATAATAAGCGTAGCCTCGCGAGGGGTGCGTAGTCACGTGATTCCTTCGAAGCGCTGGATTTGCTTGGATGACTCGCAACATCCACTGTGTTCCATCGTAAGTTCAAACAGAATATACTCATTGATACCGGTGGCTCTCGCGTGGCCCCGAATTCCCCAGATGCGTCCTTATCCGCTCCCGGTGACGATGCGGCAAGGTTGCCAGGGGCGCATTTCGAAAGCGGTCTATTAGGCTCTGAAAGCAAGGTATACGCAAGGTCGTTCGAAAAAAAAAAATTAAAACAAAAAAAAAAAAACGGATTTCGGAGGATGCTGAGTATCGGCGGCATTGTTCAAAGCTTTCCAGACGTACACGAAGCAGACAGAAAAAGCATCGTTATGCGTAACGTCGATGCCGGAGCGATCGATACACCGGGGATTTCAAACAACGCCGCTCGGTCCGCTAACGCAGGTTGATCTCTGCCATTATTTATTGGCGCTTGCTCACAGTTCCCCTCCCTTTGGGGTTTTCTAAAGCGCGTTACCCAAGTTTCGCTCCTTTTCATATAGCGTTCCGAGTGAAATATAGTTTGATACTATGTAAACGAAAATGACAGGTTGGTTTGAGAGCAGTTCGTTGGTGCACCTGCCTCCATTACGCGAACGCTTGCTTTAGGCTCCCTTTTTGAGGGAAGTTTTTTTAGCTCGCCTGTGCCGCGCGCCAACACAACCTAAAAACGAAGGGCTGGTTCATGCAAAACAAATAAAAAAGTGCAAATTAGACAAGAACAGGCGAGCAAGACAGTAAAGGTGTTATGCTTTACACATTTGCGTTTCAGTGTGTGCGAGCGATTTGTACGCGCGCTTGAGACCGTTAACGGCGCAAGAACATACTGGCACACTTGCGTCGTCTAATAGGCAGCACTTAAACAATTCCGATCTATGTATTCATTTCCTACTGTGCGTAACCCTTTATTCTTTCACCGTGCGCTCGAAACAATTCTGACATTGTTATAAGCGACCATTTATCATGAATAGTGCGTAGATTTGTGCTCGAAAATACGGCAGAATCTTCAGTCTTGTTATACGCGGATTGAAAGTATCCCCGGGCTACCCAATATATTGCGCCAGGTGACATATAAAGGCAAAAGTCTAAATTTCATCCTTCACTCCATCGTGAATGTTCTGTGACGTCATTTTACTTTGGTCAGCGCGCGGATAAGCGAGACTTTTAGCGGGGCGTTGGGCTT